AAACTACATTAATTACTTACCTGTTGTGAATGTTGTCTGCGGCAACTAAAAAAAGAAGAATGATGACAGGCATGTCAATGTCATGTTCATGTTCGTAACCATGTAACTTTATGAATAAAGTTATCTTAATTATACCAATGTCTTTTAATTAAAATACATAACATTATTTGGCGACGAGTCAACGTATCCACGTGTAAGTCAGTCAGTCCACACGTTCAAGTGTGAAATCAAAAGTTTTTGGAATTAAGTGCCGATGTCACCAGGTGTCCACCTAACCTAAAATAGCCAACATATTGGGATTTTTCACAAGTCTTAAGTGAATAAAATCATGGCAAATAATCTAATTGGTAATATAGAACATTTTGACCCAAAAGTGGGAGATATAGTAAGTTACATGGAGAGAATGGAACAACTGTTTGTGTGTAATGTGGTAGAAGAACAAATGAAGGTGTCTATGTTATTAACACTGATCGGTGGAGAGGCATATTCAACTCTTAAAGACATTTTAACTCCAGATTTACCCAGTGCTAAGAGTTATGATGTGTTAAAAACAAAATTAGTTGAACATTTTAGTCCAAAAAGGTTACAAATTGCAGAAAGGTATAAGTTTTGGAATGCAATTCAAGACCAAGGAGATGACATTAAAGCTTATGTGAAAAAGCTCAAAAGTTTGTCAGTACACTGTAAGTTTGGTGCATTTTTGCAAGAAGCTTGGAGAGACAAGTTTGTATGTGGTATTAGGTCACAAGCCATTAAAAGAAAGTTATTATCAATGGATAATTTAACATTTGATGTTGCAGTACATGAAGCCTTGTCTATAGAACTGGCTGAAGGTCAAGTAAAATCTATGAATATGGAAAGTGCAGTCAGTACGATGGCAGAAAGTCTTGATAAAATTACTTTTAAGAATCAAAAAAAGTCAAATAGTGCCACTGTGTTTAAGAAAGACAGTCAAAAAGTGAAGCCATGTTATAGATGTGGAGTCCGAAAGCATGACCCAGAAAAGTGTCCAGCAAAGGCGTGGGAATGCTTTAAATGCAAAATAAAAGGTCATACAAGTCGTGCATGCAGAAGTGAGAAAGTCAACAAGCTGGATGAATCAGAGGAGACATCTACAAGTGATGATGACCTAGTTCTAGGGTTTTTGGCAACTATAAACGAAAGCCAAGATGAAAATCCAGCTCAGGTAACATTGAACATAGAAGGTAAGAAGATTAAATTTGACATAGACAGTGGAGCTTGTAGAACTGTCATGCACATCACAGACTCTGAAAAATACCTACCAGAATTGAAGTTGTACAGTGTTAAGTATAGGTTAAAAGTATTAACAGGAGAAGGTGTTAAGATTCTGGGGGAGACTGATGTGTTTGTACAAGTCAAGGACAAAATAGTAAGTTTACCATTAGTAATTTTGGATAGCAGTCATAAATTTATACCATTGCTTGGTCGAAATTGGCTAAATGTACTAAGCCCAGACTGGAAACATAAGTTGTCGTTTGACTGTCTAAACATGATAGATTCAACTAATAAGTTCATGGATGGACAGGATATTTCAACTGAGTGTTGTCAGTCTGGGTCACAGTTGAATGAATCTTTGTATGAACCATGTCAGTCAAGTAGTTCTAGTAAGCAGTTGCCATTTGAAGTTAATATGTTTCAGTCAGATAGTCAGGTAAATGTTAAAAATCAGTCTAGTAAGCACCCAGTGTCAAATATATGTCAAAAGCTGCCGGGTGAGTCAGGCAGAATATCAGAGGTAAGCTCAAAAATTGAGAAGTTGATATTGTCTTTAAAAAAAGATTTTCAAAATGTTTTTAATGATGAGTCACAGTCCTGTATTAAAAACTTTAAAGTTGAATTGAATCTGAAGGAGGGAGCAAAACCTGTGTTTCATAGAGCTTATGATATGCCATTTGCATTGAAAAGCAAAGTAGAGTCAGAATTAAAAACAATGTGTGATTTGGGTATATTAAAAAAAATTAATTTTAGTAATTGGGCAAGTCCAATAGTAGTTGTGCCAAAAAAAGACAGTTCTCATATTAGAATTTGTGTTGATTTCAAAAAAACTGTGAATCCAGCTCTTGATACAGATCATTGTGTTTTGCCACTTCCCGAAGATATATATGCTTGCTTAAGTGGAAATCGATATTTCTCAGTCATTGATTTGAAAGGGGCATACCAACAGCTTGAAGTAGGTGACAAGTCCAAAGAACTGTTAGTTATTAATACACACTTGGGACTTTTTGCCTATAATAGGTTAACTTTTGGTATTAGTTCAGCCCCTGGAATTTTCCAAACTGTTATGGATAATATTCTGGTGGGGTTGGAAAATACAAAATGTTACTTGGATGATATTTTATGTTATGGAAAAACATTAGAGGAATGTTATCAAAATGTGATTGAAATCCTTAAAAGACTTGAGCAATATAATGTCAAAGTCAATCATAAAAAATGTAAATTCTTTAAAGATAGAGTCGAATTCTTAGGTCATTATATTGATTCGTCAGGTATCCATCCTACTGAGGAAAAAATTCAAGCAATAAAGTCTGCTCCGTCCCCAACAAACCTTACTGAATTGAAATCTTATCTCGGGTTATTAAATTATTACATCAAGTTTATTCCAATGTTGTCATCAAAATTAAAGCCATTGTATAATATTTGCAAACCTGATGTAGATTTTTCTAAAGAATGGACTGATGAATGTGAAGACATCTTTAGACTCAGTAAGGACTTGTTGACCTCAGATAGTCTGTTGACACACTATGACCCAACTTTACCTATTTATGTGACATGTGATTCTAGTGGCTATGGTGTGGGAGCTGTATTGAGTCATATTATTGATGGTATTGAAAAACCTGTACTATTTGCCTCTAGCACCCTCTCTCCAACTGAACAAAAATATAGTAATTTAGAACGGGAGGCTTTAGCTTTAATATTTGCAGTCAAAAAGTTTCATAAATATCTCTATGGGCGTAAATTTACCCTTATTTCAGATCATCAACCACTTCAATTTATTTTTGCAAAAAATAAAAATATCCCAACAACTGCTGCTGCTAGAATTACTCGATGGGCGTTAGCTTTGTCAGGTTACAGATATGATATTATTTACAAAAAAGGAAACTCTATTGCCAATGCAGACGGGTTGTCACGGTTACCTTTAAAACAACAAACTGAAGTAGATGACTATATTTTTTCGTTTAGCTTAATTAAGGAAATACCATTGAATGCAGATGATATTAAAAAAGCTACTAATAAAGATTCATTACTTCTGAAAGTCAAGGACCTTATTTTGTCAGGTTGGCCTATTAGTGTTGAGGATGATAACTTAAAAACTTTTTTTAAACGCCGGAATGAATTATCAGTTGAACAGAATTGTATTATGTTAGGGAATAGGGTTGTAATTCCTCAGTCGTTAAGACTTGAAATTTTAAAAGTTTTTCATGAGCAACATTCTGGTATTGTACGAACCAAATTACTAATTAGGTCATATTGTTGGTGGCCAAATCTAAATGATGATATAGAAAAATTTATTGCATCATGTGATATCTGCCAGGAAAATCAAAATTTCACTAGAAGTAATGATCATATGTCTTGGCCAGAATCACCTCATAATTTTTATAGAATATTTATTGATTTCTAAAGTTGTTTAACCATACATTTTTGCTCATGTATGACCAAAAATCGAAATGGTTAGATGTCAAATTAATGGATAACAGTACCATTGCGTCAGAAACCATTTCAAAGTTAAAGGAAACCTTTTCAATTTTTGGTCTTCCAGTAGAACTAGTTTCAGATGGAGGTCCACCCTTTAATTCAGTAGAATTTGTTTCGTTTTGTCAGTCAAATGGTATAACTCCAATAAAATCACCTCCAGGTCATCCACCCAGCAATGGCTTTGCTGAAAGAGCTGTACAGATAGTAAAGAAAGATTTAAAAAAGGCTTTATTTTCAGTAAAAGGGGAAGAGATAACAAAACAACAAATTTTGCTTAAATTATCAAGTTTTCTTTTTGCTTATAGAAACACCCCTTCTACATCAACAAATATGACACCATCTGAAAGTATTCTAAAGTTAAAACCAAGAACCAGATTTGACTTAATCAAACCCTCTGGCCATAGCAAATATGCTAAAGGTGGTTCACAAAATGCAGTCAGAGCTAGAAAATTATTTAAATTGAATGAACCAGTTTATGTAAAAAATAAGCATACCAAGCTTTGGCAAAGGGGTAAGGTTATGAAAATATTAAGTTATTGTACTTATTTAGTACAAGTTGGATCTCTTATCAAATTTGTTCATGCAGACTCTTTAAGAAGTGATATGGGTGATCCAACTTATTCACATACCAATATAGTACCTAATATAAGTAATAATCTTGCCAATTATAGTGGTCCAGAACAAGAAATGTGTAGCAATATTCCCAGTGTTCCTCAAAACGTAACAGTTGATTCCCCAAGAAGTGAGTTAACACCAATATCAGTGCCACCAAGTGTTATATGTGAATCTAACAACACACCCATAATTGCTTCTCCAAAAGTGACTTTAAAAAATAATGATACTCCAAAAATGTCTAGGTTTGGCAGAGTTATAAAACCAACTCGCAGGCTAGATCTTTAATAAAAAACAAGGGGAGAAATGTTGTGAATGTTGTCTGCGGCAACTAAAAAAAGAAGAATGATGACATGCATATCAATGTCATGTTCATGTTCGTAACCATGTAACTTTATGAATAAAGTTATCTTAATTATACCAATGTCTTTTAATTAAAATACATAACATTACCTACCTTAAAATTTAAAATATCACTTTTAGTACCTACGTGCAGCTTGTATATAATAAAATAGGTATATATATTTAACATTACCTAGCATTTAAGTTTTATTAATTCCATTTCAATAAAATGTCCTGATTAATTTTTTATTTAGTAAATAAAATTAGTATTTTTATAAAGAGAAATCATTTAGAAATATACAATTTTTAAATCCTATTACTACTTTACTTACTTAATTTTGATGTAGGTTATAAGCTTTGTCGCACTGATTGTACATTTAAAGCATGTGATTAGAAATTTTATTACATTCTGAATAAATTTAATCAGGCAGTGACGCACTGTTGTTTGACCTTCGTGAAATATTCCCCAGTTCTTGTACATTTAGATGGAAAGATAGGCAACGTACATTACAGTCTGGTAAAAATTGTCTGTGGAATGTATCTTTGGGATAGGCAACACATAATACTAATTTAAGAAAAGGTTGCCTCACAGAGTTCTATTAAATAACCTAGAGGTCGAACTTGCCATCACGCCATGATCGTATTAGGACAAAATTGAAGCCGACTAGATGGCGCTATTTTTCAGTAAGAAAATGATAATAAGGGGGCAAGCAATACAAGTAATTTTATCACAATAAAATGTTTTTTTTAAGTTTGGGACTTCCTTTATTAAACTTGTAAGCGGGCAAAACGATTGTTTAATGCAAAATAATTACAAAAAATATAGCTATTTCACATTTCGCAGGTTTAACACCACACTTTATAGTAAATAAATTTTAAGAAAAAGGCGAAAAAATTGCTGATTGTTAAATTTTGATATTTTTTATTTGTATTATATATTACAATAACAAAGGTATATTCTTAAAACAATTTACGTTTTTTATACAAAGTTCAAGAATGACTGAATGAGGTAGGTATTCTTGAAGACTTGAAATAAATAATGTGGTAAGTGCCAAAAAATCTCATTTTTATTTTATACCTTTAAAATGTCCCAAGTACCATAACCAAAAACCTATATAATGCGCTAAGTCGCCAGGTTATTATTACTTACCTAAAAAATTCTCAACAGAGTGCGTGTTTGCCAATCGCCACAACGTCGCAGGTAAAAAATGTGGTAAGTGCCCATAAATATGACAGTTTCAGTACTCTTTTGATGTTGTATTAATAAAGTTGTTATTGTTTATCTCGTTCTGTATAATCTTAAAATCATATAAGAAGGAATGCTTCTAGAAAGAGCAATAAGCAAAAGGAAAGGCAGAAAAAAATGCTGGAGAAGAGTACTATAAAAATAAGATTATATTGGTAAACACAGCCTTCACGACGTTACTAATGACAATGGTTTAAGGCTTATTAGTATGGCAGCTTCCAAATATTTAATTGTGGGAAGTACATGTTTTAATCATAGGAATATCCATAAAGCAACTAGGATATCACCAAATGGACACACCACAAATCAAATTGACCATGTTACAATTGACAGAAGGCACTTTACAAACCTAATGGACGTCAGAAGTTACAGAGGCGCAAATATTGACTAAAACCATTTCATGGTAGGGGCCAAGTTACGACAAAGAATTTCCAATGCCAAGAAAGAAAGCGGCACTAGACAAGTAAAATATAATTTTTCGACACCGAAAAAAGAAACGAGACTCGGAAAATGACATATTAGAACGGCTCGAAAGCCATATGAGTCACGGAAAAACAAGAAAGTTTTATCATCAAATAAATATTATTAGAAAAGAATTCAAACCAAGAATCAACTATTGTAATGATAATTAAGGTAACTTACTTACCAACAAAGAGGATATCCTTTTACGATGGGTAGAGCACTTTCGAGAGTTGCTGGAAGGGGAACCTACTAACAATATAGAGCTGGAATACCGAAATGAGGAACTCGTGGAACGACCCTCGGTAGATGAAGTGAAAATATCTATAGAAAAACTAAGGAACCCCAAATCTTCAGGTAGCGATGGCAACCCAGCAGAGTTATTTAAGCACGGTGGAGAGCAGCTCACCAAGGTGATGCGAGAAATTATTTGTAAAATTTGATCTGAGGAGCAAATGTCTGAAGAATGGAGCTTAGGCTTAATTTACCCATTACACAAAAAGGGAAACCAACTGGAATGCAATAATGACCGCGGAATAACTCTCCTAAATACAGCATACAAGATATTGTCAAACATTGCCTTTAAAGCCTTATACCGAAATGTTTTTAGGAGAATATTAGGCAGGATTTAGGCGTGAACGTTCAACCATCAACCAGATCTTTACACTACGACAGATCCTCAAAAAAGCGCAAGAGTTTAACATAGATATGTATCATATTTTTGTCGATTTTAAAGCGGCATATGACAGTGTCTTAAGACCAAGTCTTTACAACGCTATGAATGAGTTAGGAATTCCAAAAAACTCATATGTTTGATAAAAGTGACAAAGGCGAAGATGCTATCAGCAGTAAAAATTCAAAACTACTCGTCAACCCTATTTGAAATACATAGCGAGTTAAGGCAGGGAGATGCGCTGGCGTGTCAGCTTCTTAATGTCGCCTTAGAAAAAGTTGTACGAGACGCTAATTTAGATAGCAGGGGAACAATATTTAACAGATCAGTCCAAATTCTAGCATATGCAGACGACGTGGACATTATAACAAGAACCAGGGCGATAACTGCGGAAATCCTAACCGAGCTAGTAGCAGCAGCAGAACGAATGGGGTTACATATAAATCAAAATAAAACCAAATTCATGGCGACTAACAGAAACACAAGAGCTGGAAATGTTGACGCAAATTTAATCATCAGTGACCAAACCTACGAAGCAGTCGACGAGTTCATATATCTAGGGACATCGGTTAACCCCAATAATAACACATCTGAGGAAATAAAAAGGCGAATAATAATTGCAAACAGGTGTTATCATGGTCTATCAAAGTACTTAGCTAACAAAGGCCTGTCTCAAAAAACTCGTATAAGGCTGTATAGAACACTGATAGTCCCTGTTCTCACATATGGATCAGAGGCATGGACGCTAACTACAACAGATGAATCCGCTCTATCGATATTTGAAAGAAAGGTGCTACGTAAGATATTCGGAGCGGTCTGTGAGAACGGAATATGGAGGCGTAGATATAACTTTGAACTGCAGAATATCTACAAGCATACGAGTGGTAGTAAAGATATTACCACTATAATTAAGCGAAAAAGCCTGCAGTGGGCAGGATATGTAGCCCGGGCCCCTGAATCGAACCTGATAAAAAAGATTGTAGACCAAAGCTGAGGTGGATGGATGGGGTAACACAAGATGCGGAGAAGATCGGAGTCGGCAACTGGAAAATGCAAGCAAGGGACAGAACAAAATGGCGTAGAAAGCTTGAGAAGGTCGAGGCTCTCTAAGGGCTGTAGCACCAAGATGATGACATTTTTAGCGTGTGTATTATAGAATATACCGGCCTCTGAGATAGTTTTTATAAAAAATAAGTGTAGGAGTCAATGTGTCCTATAGAACACATGACATTATTGTGGATTAACTTTTATTTTGTTTCAGATGGCGAAACATATTGAAAATATTTATAGAAAAAAACATTTATTGCTTCACTTTGAAAATATTCTCCATTGTTAAGAGAGTCATTTTCAAAATGAACTAATAAAATGTTTATTTCTACAATTTTCAACGGGTTTGCGTATAATTAACTAGAGATACCAGTAAAATTAATTTAGTAATCGATTTGATAGTTATTGGACAACTGTCCAATAACTAAATTTGACCGTCCAATCCATAAATTGATTTTTTAGGATTGTAGTAAAATGCTTAAACTTAGAAAATACGATAAGATTAAACTTATAGAAGCTGTTAAGGATGTCCAAAATGGCATATCCTTCCTCCACAAGGAATTTAAATTAAAAACATCCGGAACATAAAGAGATACTTGGACTGTCTCCTATTTTAACTTGCGAGGAGGAGAATACTCTGGTTAGGTCTTCTTCTTCTTGCCATATCAGAACTATCCGACGTTGGCGATCACCATTGCGAAGGCTTCTGCAATATGGAATAATTGCCCTGCATTTGGTATATGAGTCCATTCACGAATGTTTTTAACCAAGAACCTTGTTTTCTTCCTACACCTCTACGGCTCTCTATTTTGCCTTTAAGGATCAGTTGTACAATTTTATATCGACTTCTTCCCCTTACTATATGTCCCAGATAAGACGTTTTTCGATGTTTAACAGTCTTTAGCAGTTCTATGTCTTTGTTGACGCTCCTTAGTACTTCTTCATTAGTTTTTCTTGCTGTCCAAGGTATCTTCAGCATTCGTCTATGAAGCCACATTTCCAATGCTTTAATTTTGTTCATGATCGATACTTTTAGCGTCCACACTTCTGCACTATACAAAAGTACAGACCAAACATAACACTTAACCATTCTTTGCCTTAGTTCTAAACTGAGATGGTTATTGCAAAGAAATAACTTCATTTTCATAAAAGTAATTATAGTCATTGCTATTCTACGTTTTATTTCTATGTCAAGATCTAGTTGGTCCGTTATCACAGTTCCCAAATATGTCATTTTGTGAACTTTCTCAACTTGGACTCCGTTCAATTGAAGCTTTGCATGGGGATGTGGGTCACGACTAAACACTAAAAATTTTGTTTTGTTTGAGTTTATTTTAATGCCCATTTCCTCTACTACCTCGTGAATACGATCAAGCAGAATTTGAAGACCTTCAATATTATCTGATAGAATTACTGTATCGTCTGCATATCTAATCACATTAAGTAGTTCTCCGTTGATTTTTATTCCATAAGGTTGTCTCTCAAGTGCCTTTTTAAATAGCTGGTCCGAGTAAACATTGAACAATGTTGGCGACAAAATGCAACCTTGTCTGACTCCTCGTTATATGGGGATTTCATCGGTGTAGTTATCTCCAATTTTTATGATAGCAGTTTGATTCCAGTACAAATTTTTAATGACACGAATATCCTTGTCATCTATTCCAATATTTTTTAGTATTTGCATTAATTTTACATGCAGTACATTATTTCGAATGCCTTTTCGAAGTCCACGAAACATGCAAATACCTCTTTTCTTTGGTCACGGCATTTTTGTAACAGGATGTTTAGCGCAAAAAGTGCCTCCCTGGTTCCCATAGCATTTCTAAAACCAAATTGGGTATCTTCAAGATCTTCTTCGCATTTGCGTCTAATTCTGTTGTGAAGTATTCTGAGGAAAATTTTAAGAGTTTGGATCATTAGGCTAATTAATCGATATTCTGAGCATTTTCTCTCATTGTGTTTTATAGGTATTGCGATAAAGATGGATTTGAGCCAATCTGCGGGAATCATTCCGGTGTTATAAATTGAAT